TAAGTTCCCAGAACTTCTTCATTATTTCGCAGGTCCACCACATATGGTAGAAATTGCCTTCTTTGATTTTACACTTCCAGCAAGCCTTATTTTCTGTTTTGTACATTTTCCCTAGTTTTGCCGGTGTGATATACCACCTATATATCATTTTTTTCCAAATTTTCTCTGAGTAAGACACATACCGTGAATTTCATTCCACTAGTCCATAATTTCAACCACTTATATTCTATATTGTATCCCAAGTCCATTGCCCATTTTGTCATGACCTCCTTTATTTCTTCATCTTTAGTGTCCCAATCTGATAATATGTTATACATTTTAGATAATAACTTGGATTTACCTTCAATTATTTCTACCTGGAATTTAGATTTTTTCTCGTTTATCCCTACTTTTTTGTCTTACTTCCATACTGCGTTTATTTGATGAAATTGCAGCCACCCTGTTAGTTTGTCTTTCAACTCCTCGTATGTTCTCAGTTTCCATCCACTCTCTGATCTTATCAGTAGGTCTTCATATGTCAGTCTTTCTCCTTCCATATTTGCTTTTTTGGTTGTTAAAATATCAATTGGGGATAACCACCAGGGTGTTTTCCATTCCAGAAATTTTTTCTTTTTCTCCCAAACTTCGTATAGTGGCCCTCTAATAATGTGGTTTGAAAAACCTTTATGTAACTTTTCTTTATTTAGCCACAAATAGGCATGCCAACCGAACCTGTTGTTGAAGCCTTCTAACAGATCTGTGTCTTCCAGATTTATCCAATCTCTGATCCAGCAGAGGCAGGAGGCCTCAAAGTATAACTTCAGATTAGGTACCGAGAATCCCCCTCTTTCTTTCCAATCTGTACAACTTTTTACAGGCCATATGCCAGTGGTAGGTGAGCTCAGAAGCAAAAAGTGGGCAGGTATTGTTCTTAAAAGGTAAAGGTAAAGGGACCCCTGACCATTAGGCCCAGTCGTGGCCGACTCTGGGGTTGCAGCGCTCATCTTGCTTTACTGGCCGAGGGAGCCGGCGTACAGCTTCCGGGTCATGTGGCCAGCATGACTAAGCCGCTTCTGGCGAACCAGAGCAGTGCATGGAAACGCCGTTTACCTTCCCACCGGAGCGGTGCCTATTTACCTACTTGCACTTTGACATGCTTTCGAACTGCTAGGTTGGCAGGAGCAGGGACCGAGCAACGGGAGCTCACCCCATCACGGGGATTCGAACCGCCGACCTTCTGATCGGCAAGCCCTAGGCTCTGTGGTTTAACCCACAGCGCCACCCACATCCCGTGTGTTGTTACCTTTATACAAAAGGCAACATTCTACCCACCCAAACTCAGTCTTACACATCCACACACATCTTTCCATTGTCCATCCAGGCAAGCAAGAGATGTTATCACTGTTCAAGGACACATTCCAATCAGGCAAAAGCACTTAAGGATAGAGTGGGGCAGCACAGCTGAGAAGCATGCCACTGGGATAGTCCCAAGGGCCAGACAGAGGGGTCTGGAGAGACACATTGGGTCCCCAGCCTTAGATTTGCTCACCTCTGGGGGAAACAATACAGTTTAAGACCCACCAGTCTAGCATGTCATCTCTTCTCCAACCATTATTAAAGCCACAGTAATTTCTTTTTCAGACATCCCAAGAGAACAATTCAAAGGGAATGAGCCTATGAATTTACTTTGCTTGACCACCAGCAAATTTCACGACGACCTAAACATTAAATTAGATTTGCATATTATTTATAATTAAAAGACATAAAGATTTTCAGAAGCAGCATGCTTATCATCTACTCTCTTGAAGGCTGATAATTGCTGATGATTTTCCAGATTTGCATGGTACTTATCTTTGCTCCAGCACAGGAGGGAGGGGGAGGGAAAAGGTGTGAAGCGAGACCCAGAAAAGGAAGCTGATAAAAGCAGAATGGAACCAGCCTGATTTATGTTTTCAAACCAATGGGTAGCAGCCGCTGCTTTATAACTAACAGGCTCTTGACCTGAAGGGAGATGTCAGTTCTCCTGAGGCTGAAAATAACATAACTCCCATAAATCTTTCATGAACAATTTTTGGAGGCTCTCAAATTGAGCCTGACTGATCTAAGCATTGCACTGATGTCTATAGGCTAAAAAAAATAAAATAGATGCCAGTTTCCTAAAACTGGTAGTCTGAAATAAGCCCTATAGGACTCAAATTCTTTAAAACAAAACAAATATGCAGTCGTATAGTCTGAGTCTGGCACTTTAAATCACATTAAATCTCTTCCATGTACCCATAACCATTACATGTGAACTGAATCAAATTTCTCCCCATCTCTAACTATTACCTATAGTTAGAGTCTGGAAGGCAGGGTGGGAGCAAAGTTTAATAGTTTCTCAGATTAACATGCGGTGCTGGCCTAGAAGGCTCATGGATGACCATTTGACTCATTCACTGTTGCTTATTGATCTGTGGGGCTTTCTTGCTGGAATGCTGGGTCTCTCTGCAGTCTTTCCTTTTGCCAAAATAGGGTAATAATTGCCTGACACCTCCAAGATTGTCAGCTGAAAAACCTACCAAGAGTTGTAGTCCTGACCGTCATGCCATATCTATCTTGAATCTTGTGTGGACCATATTCTATAAGGAGGTACAGGTGAACCCCTTCATGTGTTGTGGGTTTATGCCTTCATGTGCATACAAACATGCACATGAAAGGCTCCAGTGTAGAAACATGAGTTTTGCAATCCGTTAAGTTAAACAAGATGGCTCCAGAGTCCAGACTTACCCAAACTTTTGTGGGCTGAAGCACAATTTGTATGACATTGCATCTAAAATGATGGCATGGCAGCCAATCTCATAATCAACATCTGGAGGGTTTCTTTGGAGGGTGCTACCTTTTCTAATCTCTAATCTGTGTCCAGTCTTGAAGGTAAAATAATACTGTATGCCCTATGTCAGGAACTGCCAACTCCCAATAGACTGCAGTCTACTCACAGTATTAAAAAACAGTATAAAAAAGTGATCTAACCATTGTCATTGGATGGACCAGAGTTGTTGAGCTTTTTTAAGGAAGCCACAGTTGTTGTTTTCCCCCTTTTTTTGGGGGGGGGGAGATCACTGAGAGGCCAAAGATTTACCAGGAACACACCATGATCTGCCAGTAGATCACGATCTACCTGTTGGATATGCCTGCCTTATGTAAACCAAGGCAGGGCATTTTTTGTCAGATGATGGCTTTATGAATGCATTCCAAATGCACTGGGTTTATGTAAGTTTATTAGTAACACTGCTGTGTCTGCACCGGCTGCTTTTGTGTTTATTTGGTGAGGATGATAATGTAAGCAATTGCCTGTGGGCAATTCATGCCTCAGAATAGTCACCACAGCATTTCTAGTCTTTGTATGATGTTGTTTCACTGTCTAACTATAGGTCTTTCAACACTTTGATCACCTTCATGGCTTCGTTTGCAGCTCGTCACTCTATTAACATCCTTTATGGAATGTGGTTCCCAAAAATGTGTAGAAATATATAGGATGGCTTGTGAATACTGAAGATCCCGAAGGGATTTCATATGCAATTGTTAATTTCCACTTGAAATCCAAAACCACCAAAGTTGCAGCAACTTTCAGAATATGCGTGTTAGTTCCATAGTGGGAGAAAAGTAATGATTGGATGCTCAAGGCAATGCTCAGCTCAACCAGTGGTGAATAACAATGTACACTGAATGTGCAGCAATTGTTCAGATCTCTGTTAGGCTGCTGAAAGAGAGCCTGAGCTTTTCAATGGATATATAATGCTCAATGAAGTCAACCGCAGATAATGATAAATGTGTAATGCTCACCCATGACTCATAACTTCATTGTTAAAATCTCATGCCCACCTTTCCACAGAAGTGGCCTGAACACCAATGAGTTGGAAAGTGGAAATATCCACAGAAACAGAGCTTCACACATCCCCGGTTATAGTGTGCTTTGTGTATTCCTGCGACTGTTATTGCTGTTGTGGTTTGTGAGCTGTTGCATCGCCATCTAGTGGCTAACTTTGCCAAAACAAAACATGATCTCATTTTTAACAGCATTTTCTATCCCACAAGTTATGATTGTATCAGCTTGGTGTTGCAGATTTACTTCAGGCAATTCTAAACAAAGACAACATGTATATAGTGGAGACGATATACTAGTAGAAATGTTGGTGCAGGCTTGCCAGTTTCTGGAGAATTTGCTTTAAAGCAGAAATTAACCTTCACTTAATACCTTGAATTTATTTTCTCTGAGTGATACATGAACATGCAACACATGCACTTGTGCTTAGTTTAGTTCTCCAAACTGAGAGACACAAGAGCTGTGAAATTTAAGCCGAAATCCTATACACACTTACGTGGGAGTAAGTTCCATTGAACTTCTGTCTTTTTAGACATGTATAAGATGTATAAAATATATAAAGATGTATGGAATGTGCTTGTCTTTAAGGTACCAGAAGTCTCTATGCAACACATACCGTAACTGTTCCTCTGGATCTTGACTGAATGTGTTTGGGTTACTCTTAAAACCATGACGTTGTTTTCATTGTCATACAGCTGGTTCACCCACCCCAGGGTGAGCACTCCTCAACTTCCCTCAGATATGTGTTCATGTGTTGCATCTGATATAGGCAGTGGCAATTGGTGAATTCCTACTTCACCAATTTCAGTTATCTATGGATGAGCATACCCAGAGACAGTCTGCACCGGTAATGGCTTGTGTCATGAGGTGGAGCCGCAGAATCGCCTTCCCAACAACAGCATCACTGCAGCTTTCCTGGACAGGGATGGGAAGGAGTAGCTGTGAGATTGGGGTTGTGTGGGTGCACTGGCAAAGCCAGCACTCCCACTGGTGCAGCAGGCTTCCTCAACCTTGGCCCTCTGTGGAATTTTCTTACTGAAAAGGTTGTGGGGTTTTGTTGTGTTTTTTTAAAAGGAGCAGGGCTTGCAGTAGTTTGTTGTAGTGGTACAGTGCATTCTATCACCTCCTCAGGAGAAATATATAAAAAATAAATAAAAATTGTCCAGTAGCACCTTAGAGACCAACTAAGTTTGTTCTCGGTATGAGCTTTCGTGTGCATGCACACTTCTTCAGATACCAAACAAAAGCTCATACCAAGAACAAACTTAGTTGGTCTCTAAGGTGCTACTGGACTCTGACTCTCTCTCTCTCTCTCTATATATATATATATACACAGTGGTACCTCGGGTTACATACGCTTCAGGTTACATATGCTTCAGGTTACAGACTCTACTAACCCTGAAATATTACCTCGGTTTAAGAACTTTGCTTCAGGATGAGAACAGAAATCATGCTCCGGCGGCGCGGCGGCAGCAGGAGGCCCCATTAGCTAAAGTGGTGCTTCAGGTTAAGAATAGTTTCAGGTTAAGAACGGAGCTCCGGAACGAATTAAGTACTTAACCCAAGGTACCACTGTATAGATATATAATCTACCTACCTGAATCTCCTCAGGAGGACTCTACCATCTCTTCCCAACTTTATTTTACTAACATAGGCAACTCCAGTAGGGATGTTGAAAAATTCTGATAAAAGTGGAAATGTCCCTTTTCTTTCCCATGTTTGGAACAGAAATTAATCCAACGAATATGATTAGTGGTGCCTTCCCCCCCCCCAGGGGGTATTCAAAGGTACGCAGTGCTGGCACCTCTCTTTTTTTAGTTGTTAAAAAGTGTAGCACTTACTGTAACAACTTTATGGTTAGTACCAGCACCTATTTTTCTGGGGGGAAAGCACTGATGAGATGAGAATTTGCTGTTGTTGCTTTTAATCTCCAAGTGATACCTAAGTGATTACGTAAACACACACACACACACACACACACACACTTGCACTGCCTTTCCTTTGCATTGAAATCAATGGGTGGAATGGCGTCACGACAGCAGAATTTACGTTAATGATGTAATTATGTTAGTTACATAATTTTGCCACAGCAGGCAGCAAGATACATAATGTAGCTTTTGGCAGAAGACAAACTGCAGTGGAATAGAAACAGTGTTTCATGTGACATACACAGGGCGGACTGGAAAACAAAGCTCTTTTACATTCCTAAACTCCTGCTGAGTTACATTTTCTAAAGTTTCCAAGCCCACTTTGAATTTTCTACTCTGTATCTTGTATTCACTGGAAACACTGAAATTAGACTTTTTCAGTTGAGCATTATCTTGCTTTTGCAGATTATGTTGCTCTTTGTTTTCTGTTTTCCTTGTGATCTGTATCCTGCCTGAGCCTCTTTTTTCCCCTTGCTGCTTATTTGTGAGAAGCTTTCTTTTACCCTTTCTTTCCTTCCCTTTTCTTAGCAGTAATAGCATCATGAGGTCTGAATTTATAATGGATGAAGGTCATTCTTTATAAGAATTCTCTCAGTTTCTCAGTAGTTTAGCCTATCAATCTGTACGGAGGTTCAGAAAATGTCACCTTGCAAAACCGTATGGCGCGCTTTGGCAGGAAATTAGAAGGAGCAAAAACAATTCAAGCAGCAGGTCAAAAGATGGTTATTAATTTTCCGTTTCTGTCTTTGTTGACAGGTAGAATAATTGTATCTTTTTTACGCACAGCGGAAAGAATAGAAACATTTCTTGAAATACAATATGCTTGGTGCAGTTGCCTTTTGTACCCAGTAGCACAGCATTTTGTGGTAGCATTAATCATTATTTTGTGAGAAAAGATGTCTAAAAATGTGGTGCAGAAACAGGGGAAAAGATTCAGAGGGATGGGAAAGCTCAAGTTGAAGGAGCGGCTCTGCCTCTGCTCCCATCATCTCTGACCATAGACACATAGGAAGCTTTTGTATACAGTCAAGCCCTTGGTCCATCTGACTCAATATTGTCTACAACAGCCTTTCTCAACCCGTGGGTCCCCAGATGTTGTTGAACTACAACTCCCATCACCCCTAGCTAGCAAGGCCAGAGCTCAGGGATGATGGGAGTTGTAGTCCAACAACACCTGGGGACCCACAGGTTGAGAACCACTGGTCTACAATGTCTTGCAGCTAGTCTTACCTGAAGGTACTAGGGATTAAACCTGGGATCTGCTTACTGCATGCAAAGCAGTTGCTCTGCTGCTGAGCTAAGGCTGTGACCATTAGCCATGGTGGCTGGGGGGTTATGGGAGTCTTGCTCTAGCAACATCTAGAAGGCCACAGCTTCCCCATCCCTGCTAAGAGAAAAGAGGTCAGAAAGAGATGGCTTCAGGTCAGCTGCACTTCTCCTTGGCTATGCTAGAGATTCAGTTGCATGCAATGGACCTGTCAAGAAACCCACAAGAATAGCTTGCATCTGTACAGTGCATTGATAGGTTAGAGCTGTTGATTAATTGTGAGAGTAATCAGAAAAGATGTTTTATGCCCTGCCCATCTGACTGAGTTGTTCCAGCCACTCTGGGCAGCTTCCAGCATAAATAAAAACATAATAAATCATGAAACATTTTAAAACTTTACCTATATGGGGCTGACTTCAGATGTTTTTTTCTAAAGGTTGTATAGTTACATATCTCCTTGGTTTTTTGGGGGGGCGGGTTTGCATATCTACATGCCCTGCAACATTTTTCCAATGAAAATAGGGACGTCCTAAGGGAAAGCAGGGCATTCCGAGATCAAATCAGAAGCCGGGATGAATTCTGTAAATCCAGGACTGTCCCTGGAAAATAGGGACATTTGGAGGGTCTGTTCTCATTGAGTTAATATAGTCCCATATTCTTTAGCATAGGCATGCACACCGTATGTGCCATCAACTTGAAAAGAGAAAGTAAGGCTGTCGGGGACTACTACAGTGGTACCTCGAGTTACAAACACCTCAGGTTACAAATGCTTCAGGTTACAAACTCTGCTAACCTGGAAGAGTTACCTCGAGTTGAGAACTTTGCCCCAGGATGAGAACGGAAATTGTGTGCCGGTGGTGCAGTGGAAGCAAGAAGCCCCATTAGCAAAACCTCGCCTCTAGTTAAGAACAGTTTCAGGTTAAGAACAGACCTCCGGAACTAATTAAGTTCATAACTAGAGGTACCACTGTATTCATGATGCCTGTGCTTTATATCCACCATCAGACACCATATGCCTCTGAATGCCACTTGCTGCAAACTGCAGGAGAAGATAATATCGTTGCACTCAGGCCCTGCTTGCAGACTTCCAACAGGCCTCCAACAAGCCACACTGAGAGCAGGATGGTGAATGAGATGGCTCTTTGGCCCTATTCAGCAGGAGAGCCAGTGTGGTGTAGTGACTAAGAGCAATAGACTCGTAATCTGGTGAACTGGGTTCACGTCTCCGCTCCTCCACATGCAGCTGCTGGGTATGGCCCTGATGACCTTGGGCTGTCACATTTCTCTGAACTCTCTCAGCCTCACTCACCTCATAGAGTGTTTGTTGTGGGGGAGGAAGGGAAAGGAGAATGTTAGCCGCTTTGAGACTCCTTCGGGTAGTGGTAAAACGGGATATCAAATCCAAACTCTTCTCCTCTTCTTATGTCCTCAGGGTCTTCCCTGCCCCTATTCTATCTTCACAGCAACTGTTTTATCTTCTCAACAACCGTGTGAGGGAGCTGAGGTTATGAGAGAGTGACTTCCTTAGGCCCAGTTCCATAGCAGACCAGGAATTGTAATGCAGAGTCTCCACCTTGCAGAGTCTGCATCACTCTATTCTCCCCCCCCCCATGAGACTCACATCTGTGGGAGCTTGGGAAAGAGCCTTATGAAAGAGATGCCTGGCTTTGGTTGTGAGTCGATGAGGCCAATTATGGTCATTTCAATGCCCCAAGGTGCTACATTTCATATTCTTGATTTGTTTTCCCCACACTATGTTACTTCCCCGTGTGTACTGTTCTGTTTTTGCCCTTCATGTGTGAATAATAGGATATTTGTTGGATTCAGAGGTGTGTTTCCCCCTGTGGGAAATTGGATTGATTTTTCTATTGGGCTAGATGAATTATTCTCTATGATATATCCCTTTCGCTGCTGTATGTTGTCTTTTATCTTCCTTCAGTTCAGATATAATGGATTCTTTGCTGTCTTGTGTTCAAAATGTAGGTGCTTTACAAAAATCCATGCTGAAATATTTTTTCCTTCTGTGCAAAGAAAATTTGTAGAAAACTGGGAGAAGCTGCATCAGAATATATGTAAATGTTTATACATGAATATTGCTCTGTCCCATGGAAACCTAGTGGTACTGTCAGAGAGGTAGTAGTATTATGTGTGTTCAAGGATACATTTCAGCCAGACAAAAAAATAGTTGGCAGGGGAGGGGGCAGGCAACCAGGTGGAGATCCATGGGGGCTTAAAGTTCTACAGGAAATATAATAAAGTAGGAGTCTACAACCTTCTTGCCTCCAAAGGCCACGTGGTGGTGGGGAGTGAGTTGGTGGGCAGTGAGCTGTTTTACCCGTAATTTGTTGGAAACTGCACAGAGTGGCTGGGGCAACCCAGTCAGATGGGTGGCATATATGTAATAAATGATGGTGATGATAATGAAAGTGGTGAGCAGGTTCAGTGGCAGGTGGTGCCTGGGCTCCCCACCATTTCCCCCCATCTGAGGAGGGATGGGGAGATCCCACTGAGAACCTCCTTCCCCCAGCTATTCCCAGCACTTACGAACTTGCCATCAAGGAGGCAGTCAATGAGACCCCAGCAATACTATTGTGTGTCCCAGCTTCTGATTGGATCCTGGAATGGCCCCTTTCTTTGGTCTGGCACTCTGGTGGGAGTCAGCTGGCTAGCACCAGAGCACTGGACCAAAAGGCACTTGGCTTTTGGTTTTGCATGCTCAGGACCAAAAAATGAGTGTCCAGATTTTGATCAGTGAGGGGTTGCATATACCAAATGTAGAAAGCAGGGCTGGTAATAGAGGGGGGAAATGAGCTAAAACCACCACAACGTGTGTTTTTCGTTTAAATCCTGCTAATTGTGAACAGGTAAATTTGTTTAGATAAGAATTGCTTCACTAAGTGGCACTGATGAAATGGTTCTCCCCATCTCCACAACCCTCCAGCACCTTTTCTGGCACAGAGCAAATTGCTGCAGGGAAAGAAGGAAGCTTATGAGGAATCTTGCCTGGAGTGGGTGTTTGACTGATTCAGCAGGAGCCAAACATGATACCATAAGACACCTGGGAGGAAATGATATAAATATATTGGTTTCTCACTGAGA